AAAAAATGTTTCAAAAACAACAGAAATGACATGAACAGCAGTATCAAGGAATGCTTCAACAACAACAAAAATGGCATGAAGATCAGTATCTGGGAATGCAGTCTTATATAAACAACAATTTTAATTCCATGCAGTCTTTTATGGACAGCAATTTTGCTTCAATGGCCATGTACATTGACGACAAAAACTAAAATGTGATGAATCGATTAGATGATTTGGAATCAAAACTGGAAGTTATTGCTTGTTCACAACTGCAGGATGTTCCTGGTTCTAGTAGTGGCCAGAAAGCACCATTTCAACAAATTTCATCGGTGGGAACATCCAGAAAAGAAAAGAAAAATAAGAAAATAAAGTATTCAGGTTATCTGTTAGAAAACTATCTTATGGAAATATATACAACAATAAGAGAGTGGGTGGTGCGGAATCCATTTAGGTAAGAAATTTGATTATATTAATTGTATTACATCGATTTAGTATTAATTTAACTTACAATATATACATATAGTGCATACTGGAAGATTGTAGGAACTGACAACTTATATGGAAGAGATATACTAAAAACTATAATGGATGCAACCAAAGATATCCATATTGCGGTTAGTGAAGTTTATAACTCTGGCTTAATTAATTTTATTATGCTTAACATATCTAATTTATTTCTATTAATTGTATTAGCATATAGAAATGGAATTAAAGCTATTGAGAGAGTTGATCAATGAAGGTTGCAGTCTTGTTTCCAAAGAATATGTAATTCTGGACTTCAAATTTGAACATGAATGTGCTGCCCAATTGATGTGGCAACATAATGTAATGGCAGAATGTTTTAGCCATTCTCAAAAGGATTTATTAACTGTGACTTTACAACTATACATGAATGGTGATTTGTCGGTGGGTGGGCGTTCATGGATAGCTTGCAACTATTTATTAATTTCGTGTTCATATGCGGGAAAAAATTGGCATCTCTGTTTTGTTAATTTTCTGGAATGGAAAGTTCAAATATATGATTGTAGTGAGGAGTCTCATACACCAGAAGAAATCAGGGAACAAATAAAGTCATTAGTTGAAATAGTCCAAATTTCATTGAATTTCAGCAATTTTTTTTCTAGGAGACCGGATTTAAGGAAGCATAGAAATAAAATGCTCAATTTGAAAATTATACCTTACATACCTTGCGCAAATAACAGGTATGTATTTAATGCATTTAAATTGAAAACATTTATTCTTTCTCGATTTATGATTTTACCCTTTTACTATTTATTTTGTCTAACAGAAAACAATTATTTCATACAGGGCAAATTCTCCAATATTTTTACTCAAATACATAGAATGTTTTTTTAGACTATCCATTAGAAACAGTTCAAGCAGACAGGATGAGTATATATAGAAGAAAGATTTTAGTAGACATTTGTTATAATCAATATTTTCTACATCTCCGTAGTTCCTGATTAGTTTTTTTTATTGTAAATGTGAAGAATTTGTAATATGTAAACAATTTGAAATTAGCTTAATGTTATTTTTGGTGCAACTACATAAATTCAAAATTTAAAAGTGAAAAATTGTGCGCGAATATTTTAGTTGTTTATTTGTTTTGAATAAAGTAAATGAAAGACAATATTTTAGTTTTTGATTGTAAATGCGAAAAATTTGTAATATATAAATAATTTGAAATTAGCTTAAGGTTATTTTTGGTGTAATACGTAAATTCAAAATTTAAAAGTGAAAAATTGTGCATGGATATTTTAGCTGTTTATTTGATTTGAATAAAGTAAATGAAAGACAAAGAATAAATAAGAATATACTTTAGGATATATACTTCATTAATGTTGACAATTCACTGCAAAAATATTAAATATATATTCTACTGTCCATAATAAATGGATAGCAATAAATGATGTAAGTAGAATATTATACATACATCATTTGTCAACATTATGGTTGCCAAAATAAAGCAAAATAAAGAAAAACAAAGTTGACAAGAACAAGCCATCTATTTTTTCCCAAACAAAAATATTTCAGTCATTCTTCACTTTATCTTTTGCTTTGGAGCAAACGAATTTATGTCAGAAGTAACATTTGAATTTGAAGCATCATTGGAAGATTTGAAAAGGGCTCTCTTTGCTGGAGGCAGCGGATTTTCCTTAGGCGAGTTTGTATAGATGTTTTTCTTAACATTTTCTTGCCTTTTTTTTACTTAGGGTGTTTCTGTCGTCTAAATTTGTTAAATTTGTCACGGAGATGATGTCAAATCTATAATTTGACGAATTAGGCTCAGTTTGGAATGATCTTAAGTAGAATGCTTGTGGCGTATCCTTCATTTTTTGAAGAATAACTTCAAATTTTGTCTATGAATCCTATATGTCAATGATGTATACTCTATTACTATTATGATGTAAAAAGAAAGGAAAAAATATAGTCTATTGAACTGTCGATGAGATAATTAACTGTTGGATAGACATAAAAATTATACATTATTGGTCAGGAATATCATCAGTAATAAATATTTCATAGACGTATTAGAGTCTTATTGTTATGATATTTTTATAAACCATAAATATTGGAGATTCCCTATTTAATAGTTCAAATACACATGTATCGCCAATTTGTAGCTGTTTGTCTGTGAAAAAATCTGTCCAACCTACACTAAGCCGGTGCATTACACCATTTTCTCTTGAATTTGTGGTGATATCTTAGTAGTGAAGTAAAGAGTCGAGGATTTGAAAATTTTGCACATGTCTTGGCAAATGGTGTTTTGCAAACCTTCCTGGTATAGACTGAAAAATACGGATTAATGATTTACTAATATTAAGAATGATGTGGAATAGGTAAATACAAAATGACGTATTAAAAATAACACCTACAATTTCTCGATGGTTGTTATGATCCAGCGTAAGTTTTATTTCAAACGCAGGATTATCCATATTTTGAAATCGTCGTCGTCTACTTCATAATTTGAGTCATATGTAATCTCTGCTCTAGAATGATCAAATATCCTCATATTCAACATTGAATTTTCATTAGATTCAAATACTACAACATAACCATCCTATAAGTTATGATGATCGAAAAATTCTTCCCAACCATTAGCCAGATATATTTCTCCGTCAATTCTTTATAACTGTACTGTGATGATTATACCATCATATGCAGTTAATCGTAGTGTGTTACCTAATTCTGGTTCCCAATAATTAATAAAAGATGTAGGAAGCATCTACAAATACGAAAAAATATATAAGTTGTACATTAATATTAATAAAAGATTTTAAAAAATCTGGAAAAAGAAATTATTATATAACTTACGAAACGAATGTTATGATTTAGTGAAATATTGATGATTTTAGAGAAGCTATTTGGCACATCCATTTTTGTGTCTACTAAATTTAGAAAGAATTACATACATCATATAATTTAAAACACAATTAAATATTGAAAATTAGACATTATATAAAATTAAAAATCTATCTAAAAAGTAAGAAAAAAAGAATAGACAAGACCTGAATTTTTTGAGCAAAGTTGGGCTGGTGTAACTGGCAGATAAAAATATTTAAATTTTTTTGGTAAGAACAAATGGTATGTGAAGGTATTTAAGCTAAAGAAATGTACGTTACTTTTTCCAATGATTTAACGAGAGGTTCACATGTAGAATAGACAAAGTATTCCCACAGTTGTAGAAATAGACATAATATGTGCAGTGGTTTTGGCTTCTTACTGGATTCTCGTGACTCTGCAAGATTTGTAATGTTTTGCAAGATTTTGTGGGAACAAAAAATGAAAGAAAGAAATAATACTTTTTTGTTTCTTATATTAATCTTTGACCAAAACAATATATATTTTATTTAAAATTTCATATAGCTCAAAATATTGTTGATAGTATTAGAGAAAGCAATGTAAATGCGGGTATACCCTTCGTGCAAGTGATGTCGTATCCTGCAGATTTGTGTGGCACCACATGGGAGGGGGACATTCCAATGTGCGGGGTAACCGCACTTTGTGAGGGTGTGCCGGCTACCCCGCACAATTATGTGCTGGTGCATGCAGGGTGGCCCGCACAAATGTGGGGAGTTACCCGCTAAAATTGTGTGCTGGTGCATGCAGGGTGGCCCGCACAAATGTGGGGAGTTACCCGCTAAAATTGTGCGGGGTATTATGTGCATTTTTGTGGGGGCTACACTCGCACAAATTTTGCGGCGATGTGCAATGTAGCCCCGCACATTCTCCGTGTGCAAACAGGAAATAAACATTTTCGCACAGCAAGTCAGCACCAAATTCCTGTGAAAGTTGAAAATGGGAGTTTCTTACATTTTGTCAATACTCGAGTCTGGAAGAAAGAAAAAATCGCTTATAATTCTGCGGGTGCGACACACCACACATTTTCTGCGAGCTCACCCTGCACATTTGTACGTGTGTCCATATATATATATATATATATATATAATTATTTTTATTTCTTTTGTTATTAATGATATAGTTTAATGATAGTTTCATAGTTATACTAATTTTCAATTTTATGATTAGTTTTCATTAAACATTATTGTTTTGCTAGTTGTTTATCAACGTGAATTTCAATTTACCATCTTAAAAAGTTTTAACTTTGACAACTATATATAAGAAATCATGTCACTTACAAAATAAGTTTCTGTAGGTATAGATTACTTGAATGAAAATAAATTTAAATAGAAGAAAAAAATAAATACAAGATTTATCAACAAAGCTTGCAACAATAATTGATGTTATCTAGCACCCATAAAGCAAACAAAACACTCTGATGTATATATCATTTTTAATCTAGACAGTTTAAACACTATATGATTTAAAAGAAGAGAATAGTTGTTGCCAAAAACTTCAAAAATATCTCAATCATCATCCGCTCATTTTTTTTCTTTTAGTGTAGAAGAACTTGTGTTATTTATGTCTCCATCACAAGTTATCTTTAAATCTGAAGACTTGAAAGCTTGGTTTGCCTCGGGTAACCAATTTTTGAAGAGTGTGCTCTACTAATTTTCCTATGCACCAACATTTCCTTGACTTTCTTCACATAAATTTGAATGTCCATATACTGTATAAATTACATTGATTTTGATACTCTGAAAAAAAAATATTTTGAAGTAGAATATCATTTATATTTTGAATAACAACTTCAAAATGCTAATTAGTTAGAATTCTTACAAAAATGATCAACTCCATTCCATTCATCAACTTCTAGAATAATCTAACATCTGCATTGTAGTTGAAAAAAAGCATTTCATTTAGCATAGTCGACAGAGAAATCACAGACAAAGAAAGAAATTTCAATAAATCGAACATATACCTATAAAGAGGTGCAGTTGTATGAATGTATGAACGAAAGAACCTCCTTGTACACAACATTTTTAGTACATGAGTTGTGCGTATAATTTTCATTGGACGGTTTGAGTAGAACTTTAATAGATATGCTTGTTTTTGCTCTTAACAGTGCTACATATAATTGACCATGGCAGAAAACTGGTTCTGATAGGTACAAACCCACGAAATCAAGTGTCTGACCCTATGCTTTATTTATTGTTATTGTAAAGCATGGTCTAATTGAGAATTGAGTCCTTTTAAATGGAATCATAGTTCGATCAATTTTAAGAGGTATGAAAGGAATCCTAGGTAAGAAAACTTGTTTTCCACGATATTCACCAGTTGTGATTTCAGCAAGAATGACATTTCTCTCAAATTTTCGATAAGTAAGGCATGTTCCATTGTATAACTCCTCGGAAGGATTGATATTTCGTAATAACATTAGAGAACAATTCATCTTCAATTTCAACTCATGAGGTGGAATACCATTAGGTGTCAAAGTACTCAAGAAATCTTCCTGTAGGCGTTGTTCTAATTTCTCAATTGCTTCATCAAAACTATAGTACGTGAAACTTTGATCAGGAATTTGTTCAAGCAAAAGTCCACTAATGTAGCCAACACATTCATTTGTAGGCGTAAGAATAACACGATTGACCATCGTATATAAATGATTGCCATATGTGTCTTTATTGGGAAACACACATTGTATCAATTTTTTTAAAGACGTAATTTCATCTTCGAATGGTAGAACTATTCTATTTGGTAGCTTAATACAGTTACAAGTATGTTCTTGTTCCGTTCCACCTCCAATTCGAAGTAAGTATTCACAAAAAATGGGATCGGACTTCACTCTCATATTTTCAACTAGTGCTAAATGTACAAAAGAAGGCTACAAATACGAGTAAATCATGCTCGCCTTTATTATGTCTTCTTTGTTTCCCTTAGGTACAACTGGTAGAATCTGTCTAAAATTTCCTCCTAAAACTATTACTTTGCCACCAAAAGGCAAGTTACAATTAGTGATGTCTCTAAGCATTTTGTTTACAGATTCTACAGCACAACGATTTACCATAGGTGTCCCATCCCAAATTATTAGCCTACACATTTTCAGTAAGGTTCCTAATGCCGATTGCTTGCTAATAGGGCACTTGACTTCACCTACCGTTTCTAGAGGGATTTTAAATTTTAAATGAGCAGTTCGACCTTCAGGCAATAAAGATGCAGCCACTCCGGACGATGCAGTTGCTAAAGTTATGAAATGACGATATCTGACACCAGCCAAGAGTGCTCTATATAAAAAAGTTTTTCCTGTCCCACCCGGACCGTCGATAAAAACAATTTCACTTGATTCATCTTGTACTTTTTTCATAATTGTATTATATGCAAATTGTTGTTCTTTATTTAACGTCGCTGCACAACTAAAGTTTCTTTCAATAGCCAATTTCGTTGTTTCCTCTGTAATCATTCTCATCAATCTTTCATCGTTGTCTATATTTACGTTAAATGACACAATTCCATAATCATTTATATTTTTATCAAGTGATTCTGAAATAGAACTTATATCCTCTAAAGCTCGTACTTCGACAACTTCAGCGGACATATTTTCATTTACATAATCATCTATCATATAAGGCTTAAATTTATCCCACAGTAATTTAGGATTATTTGGATTGCACATTGTAGGAAGCGTAGCAAAAAAGATGTTTTAAAGAATAAGGCATTTCGTAAATAATAGCTTCAGATAAACATTCTTCACAACGAGTATCTCCATTTAATAAACTATGGAGTAGCGCAGCTTCACGAAATGTACCAACATTTACCCTATTGAAAGTCCTTAAATCATCAAACGATGTTGGACCTCTAATATGATTAAGAAGAAGATGAAGAAAATATCGTTCTCCTTTAGATGGATTTATCGAGACAATTCGTCCTACAACAATTTGCTTCTTTCTAGGTGTCCATGTTTTGTTAGATGCATTCCAAATAAAATGCGTTGGAAAATCTCGATACAAAAGCGTTCGAGCAAATTCATTTATTATATTTACTCGAAAAAACTCAGTTAACATAGTTTTTCTCGTATTTTCATTCTCAAAAACAGAAGATAGATTGTCTGTATTTTTGTAAGTTACACATTGATGATCTTCAATATGAAGGTGTAAAGCACAAACAGCTGGATATATTTCTGTTAAATTGAAAGCAAAAAATCCTCCACATAGTTTCAGGTGAAGATATTCATCTAGCAGATTGATGAGTAAAAATTTTATCAATGTCTTTGTCTATGTTATTTTGCCGACCAAAAAATTAATACGATCATGTCCTTTGTATACATATTTGTATAAATATTTAACAGCTTTAATAGAAGAACAAACTTCAACATTGATATAACAGTCGAATTTTGCACTTAAATAAGGATTATATGGCACAACCCATTGATTGTCTAACATTTTACCTTTCACTTTAACATAAATACCATTATTACACCGCCTATACATTCAGTACGAATTATCTCCAAACATAGTACTATTACAATAATCTTTTGGATATTTATTTTTACAACAACTATTTTTCTCCATGCATATGTTTTTAGGATTTAGATTTCCACAAGGACTATGCATATTGTGCTTTACAATAACTGAATGAAGATAATGATGTATATTTTTATCAGGAATTTCACAAGATACTATTTTATCAACTTGTTTAGTGAAAGAAATTTTATGGTCACAGTTAAAAATCAACAACAGAAGTGCATGAGGGAGACCTCTTTTTTGAAATTCAATCACGTATATATGAGCTATAACAGGATCAAAAATATTTCTCTTGTATAAATCATTTTTAAGTTCTTCTAATTTTGCTCTAAGTACACGTACAATAAGATCCGATCGATTTTGAACCTCGTCATTATGTTTTAATTCTTGCTTAATTTCTGGCCTATTTGGATTACATGTTATAGTTATAAATAAATCCGATTTTCCATAACGTTGGACAAGAGTCATAGCATCTAAATACCTCCTTAGCACATCTCTAGGTCCACATGTAAATGATTGTGGTAAAACAAATTTCTTTTCAATTTTGTACCCTCTTGTTTCTCCATTATGTATACTGTCTACGATACCTTAATAAAGTTCAGCACGAATTTGTTTCTGATTACTATGAAAATAATCTAATCTGGATGTCTCTATTTTAACATACATATCCACAACATATTGTTGAAAAAGTCTACCAGAGTGAAGCAACACAGGCTTATCAAAAGGCCTAATTTGTAACTTATATGAATAGTGCTCACGACATGATACCTAAGACCGTCTCTTCTTCGTATCCTTTAGCACTACATAAGCGAGAATAAATAAAATTTTATATTTACTTTCAATATCACATTTGTAGAACTATAATAGACACAAGAAAGTATATAAGCAAACCTGTAGCCTCTTTTTCAATAATTTGAGCCGCAGAATTTATTATATTAGGATTAGCAACATTGTCCACAAACTGTGCAATTTGAGAAGATATTTGTTTGTATCTTGGAATGCCTTCATGCTAACCACATTCACCAAATGGAAAGCGCAAAGGCTATTGTAGAGGATCATAACAACCATAATAATAATGAACCCTATGCAAATTACCAGAATGACCATATATAGTAATATCACGAACGCAAATATTTGCATTTTCATCATCATCAACCCATATAGCAGCTACTTGAGATGCTGAAGGAGTATTAAAGACTCTCTGATCGAGTCCTGGATGACATCTTATTTGAATTTTATGCTCATGCAAATTAGTTATATTGCTTAAAGACCTAAAAAATTTACTATACGAATTTACCTTCAATATTTCGATTAGAAGAAATAAAATAGATTCTATCAGGTATTCTGAAGTTTTCATACGATTTTCTAGTTCATTAGCTTTATCATAAAAATATAACTGCATATAATAAGGCGAATTATTATCCGGCATAAGTTGATTTACATAATGATATACTTGTCCCTGAATTCTAAATGTGTAGATACCTTTGTATGCTTTAAACAGTTCTTTATCATACTTCATATCAAATGAAGTGAACGCAAAGTGGTTATTATATGAACGTGCATATTTTTTAAATTCCATAGATACAGGCTCTTTAGATATAAATAAAGTATACAATTCATCCGGTGAATCGGGTATAAAAAGTTCCACCTTTCCATCAGAACAACAAAAACCTTTAGTCTCTCTATACAATTTGAGTGCACCACAATGCTTACAATAAGCACAAGTTGGCAATACATATGCAGTTGCTGGTACACTTAACAAATTAGAGCTTCCATGTAATTCAGAATAAAAAATATTTACCATTTCTTCATTCGAAGTAGATGCCTCAGAATGTATTATATATTCATGTACATAATCAACTTCAGAAGTATTATTTGTAGATAACATAAGATCATTTATTCTTTTACGAAGATCAATACTTACAGTTTCATTTTGATATCTCCTATCCGCCTGCCTTCGATTTTGTTGTTGCCGAATGAAAGGATTATATGATTAACTTGTGCTTTGGGACAAAGTTTGAAGATCAAAATGACTAGACTCTTCATTCATATATTTTTTGTAAAAATCCATGAAAACAATGAACTGACCTCTGATTTCAATAATAGAAGAAGTTATGAATTTAATTAAAAACCAACCAATAATGATAATATTACATTAAACACAGTATAAAATAAATTGACTGAACTCAGATACATATTAGGAAACATTTCGCAAATCAACAATCATCTTCGGGTATGCACGTAAAAAAAGAACTATAAACTAGACGATAACAATTAAACATTCCTATACAAACTGTTGTAATCTTCATTAAACATAAACAATAACTTAAACTTCTCATGTAGATAACGGTAAAGAAAGAAAGACATAGCCAAGTTGTATACATAGAACAAAAAAAATTATGTTACGTTACTTAAATCTAAAAAAAATAGTAAGAAATAAATACATATGAAAGAAAAAAAGAAAAAAATAAAACCTTCATAGCTATATCCAACAAATAAAGAAAAATTTACTTAGATTTTCATGTATATACAAAAAGAATAATATACCTCACATTACGTAGAAAAATATGAGCGAAGCTAAATTTTCATCTGTAGATAGAATAAAAAAATCATATGTTAAATAAATAAAAAAATAAAAAACACAAACGAAAACTAAAATTTCCAAGTACATACCCAAATACAATTGTTACAAATTCCATGATTTTCTTCTCCAAGATCGATATGACAACTACACAAATTTTTTTCGTACAGAAAGAAAGAAGAATATCGAAAGTTTTAAATATGGAAAGTTCTTTCGTAGACGGAAGCTTGAATTTTTTGGAGACAAATCAATCCAATTTGAAGGGAGGAAAGAGACTGGATAACTTGAGAAAGTGATAGATAGTACATTACTTTATATATTTTTTATATCTTCTTTTGTTTATTATATTAAATGAAAAAAGACAAACCATTTGAACCGAACATTTTAAACCAGTTCAATGTAAAAACGTACGTGACAAAAATATCATTTTGAGTTTTTTTTTAAAATATAATAAATACAAATAATTAAAATTGAAATCATTTTAATCGAACAATTTATAAAAAAAAAAAAGAAAAAATTTATACTCGTAAGTAACTTGGAGTAAATTTTCTACTCGTAAGTAACTATTTACATTTTACAAATATATACTTAAAAATCGAAGTTCATATTTTTCACTTATATATATAATGTTCATTTCAAATTTGTTGAGTATAAATATTTAGATATATTTAGTTTATTAAATTAAATATTAATAAAAATATTACACTATAAGTAAAAAAATCAGCTAAAGTTATTTAAAAGTAATTAAAAAATTGTAATGGTAAATATTATTTTTACGTAAAAAAATATAAACTTTAACATTTGTAAGTAAATATTTAAATATATTTAATTGTTTAAAATTAAATATTAATAAAAGAATTTTCAACAAATAAAAAAAAAAAAACGCTTCAATCCTCTGTGCACGGAGGTTTACTACATATCTACATGTTGCATCTTTTTTTTTTTTTAAACTTATATTTTTGTGTTCATTTTTAGGCTCATTACAGGATATCAAACGAAGTCGAAATATTACATTATTAATATCATATTGAAGCACTCGCGACATAGTATTGCACGTCATTAACTGTGCTTGAAACGGCTAATCGTACCAAATGTTACAGGACGTCAAAATAGACATTTTCAAACTACATTTCAAAATTTTCGATAACAAGTTAACTCTAAAAATTTATCGACCATTATACGATAGTTGAATCAATAAATGTTTCATTCTCTCGAAACTTATTTCGAAAAATATATCATAGACACATCGAATTATGTAAATTAATATCGAAAATAGTTAAACGGATATTAAACGTATGTGTAAAAAAATGCGTATAAATAGTTTTTTCTTCAAAAAATCAATTATTTTATTACTATTTATTATTTTTTCGCAACAATTTTCTCAATACAACATTTTGCTCAAGAAAGATTATGTGGTATGAAGTAATTTTTTTCTCCATACACTAAGTGAATATGTTTTTTTTTTTTTTACATTTTATTTACAATAATTTTGTTTATTAATATAATTTTCAAAATTTAAATATATAAGATATGATTGATAGTTAATAACGCTAAAATTAGGAGAAAGAGTATGGTGTGTCGGATTCAAAGCAACGAAGAAATATTACAGTGGACAATAGCGTGTGACAAAATTCATGCAGTATTTTTGAATAACATTTTTCCTGTTGTCAAACCAGTTAAGTGTGAAAAGGAGTGTGACAAAAATGAACAGTAAATCCTCATTCTCTCTTTTATGGTAGTGTAGAAATAAATTGTGAGCTATGAAATTTTTTATTTGTAACTGATAAATTTTTTATTTCGTGATCGAAAAATAATTTGTGATAAATTAATTTGGTAATTTGTAATTAGATTGTATAGAATTGTGATCTTAATATATGTAATTAATTAAATTATTGAAGTTGTATAAATTATTTTTTAAAAAAATTGTTTACTTTGTCGACTTGGCACATAGGAACTTGGATAATTATATTTGAATTGCGGCAACACATATTGGAAGAGAACATCATCTCCAAATTCTATGAAAATGAAGGCGAAGACAGACTTGGAGCTAAAAGTTGCGAATTACACGCTTTCTTATTCTCGAATTGTCTCTTTGTTTGAACTTTAAGAATCCAAGTTAATGTAGTTTCCACCAATGTGATTATAAGTGTTTTCTCTCAAAGAATTGTCCCCAGTCGAATCCTAAAACTCTTCTATAAGTTGGTGTTGTGTGAGGTGTGAGATCTTGGACCAAAATCTAATTCAACTGCCCTTTCTTGCAATTCTTGTACAAGTCCCCTCCTGCTAATAAAATTATATGTTGTTTTTGTTCGAAGTTCGCTCGAGCAAGTAGAGCAAGCCTTATCTAATGCTTTGGCCTCACTCAAGCTAGGCAATGGCATGTTCGAGCGGTCCTAGACTTATTTTTTCCTGTTTACTTGTACTCTCTTGATCTTCAAAATTCGATTATTCACTTTCAATGTTGTTTCACTTCAAAACATGTATTTTTCTGTTTTTATCATCAACACACTTCATGCTCGGAATTTTGTCCTATGACGACGAAATCTCATTCATTTTTAATTTGAACTAGGATTTTTCTACATTGCCAAATGAATTTTACCAGATGCAATTACATAATCCTAGGTAGAAGGAGATAATTTGATAAAAAAGTTGATTGTATTTTAAAAGTTCAATAAGAAAATGACATGTGATATTATGTTCAGAATTCTGTCAACGATTATATTTGAACTAGGAAGTCGATTGATATTTTTGATGTATCTAGTCCACACGTACGACTTAGATATATTGTACTGCTGCTCCCAGGGCACATCTCCAAGTGGTAAAAGGGGAGGGTGGAGAAATCCAGCTTTGCTTGAAGCTGTCGCGTCAAGGGTTCGAATACTGAAATATGGATTTGACTCTTGGGTAAGTACAGGTGTACAAGCAGCCTTCCACCCTGTACCCTTGGAGGCATAACCTGCGATTTACCTCCCTCACGATACTCCAGGACAGGGGCGGTGGGAAACCCCTAAAGTTGGGGTTCAACCTTTTTCTAGATACATTGTACTGCCTCATACTGCCCAAGTCGTTGTTGCTTAATACCAGCAGCGCCAATTGAATTTGTTATTGCCGTATTGCCGATTTAGAAAAACGTGCATTGGCCTTTTCACCGCCTCTTTCTCCACCTCTGACTGACTTTCATGCCTTTCTAGAAAACGAGTACAAGTTTTCCTTTTCCTTCTTTTTTTTTTCTTTTTTTTTTTTTTAGAAAATGTCAAATTTGGACTAATAAATTACTAATAAAGCGTGATTTGACTTTGAGCCGAAGTAATTTTTCATCCAAAAATAATAATTTTTGACAGTTATTTCACTATTTTAGCCATCATTTTTGATTTCTTCATTTACAGATGGAACTAACTTCTATTTTCTCTCTAGCGATCAAAAAATCAATTCTCATAAGAGTGATTCCATGTGTACAGAACAATAATTGCCAAAAGCTTCACAGTACTCTCACATAGAGGTGAGCCACATGTGAATTTTATTGCAAAAAGTAAACCACCCACACCCACTATTGTGTGTTGTCCGTAGAAATTCTGTAAACAATTTTTCTATACATCTAGACCGGTTCTTTTCATAATCAGTACTGAATATACCCTGGATACATAGAGTCAAAGCCTAGCTCTGGAATAAAAATTTAGCACCTACAGTCGCTTTTTGTTTCGGTAAAAATTAAATTTATTGTAAGTATTAATAAAATATGGAGTTAAAAAATTGTGATCCTACGAAATGGGATTGAAAATGAATTTAAAAAATAATTAAATTTTAAAAAATAGGATCAAGCATGAGCTCGTCATTTGTTACTTCACTTTTTGGCAAACAATTCTTTTAAAATAAAAGAAAAATCATAAGGGAAAAAAATGAAATATACACAACGTTATTGAACTTGTACAAAAACATCTACTATTTTTTTTTTTTTTTTTTTTTACATGGTGTCCGGGCTTGCGTCCGACTAGATCCTTGTCCCTGAACCTCCGGCCCCTCAGCAGCTCAGGGAGGTAAATCGCAGGATGTGCCCTTGTTGGCTCCCAGGTTCCCACAACTCATTTGGACTCCTTCCGCAAAGAGAGCTTTTCTCGCTGGGCGTTTGTTCAACATCTACTATTTATTTATTCCTGAAGATGCTTGCTTTTGGATGGGAAACGTAATTCAATCTATAATAAATTTGGAGTTTCAAAGACAATTGACTACTAATCAACGTCAGTTACACCATAATTTTGAAGAACAGAAGTTGAAAATTATTGCTGAGGTCAGACTCAGATTTGAGAGACGTCATCGAAGTTCATTCTCAGCCACCGCCACGGTCGTCGCCTCATCGGCCACCTTGATTACTGTCTCTTTACCACCATTAATATTTCCAGTCATCGCCTCCAAGCCCGAATTCAACCCGTTCCCGGTTACGGAAACTTCCTTACTCGGATGCTCCACAACAGGGTTAGCCTTCAACATTGAATAAACCCCATTATTATATGGATCCACTCGATTAAAATCACCACTATTCCCATTGTGCAGTTTATCATTATAAGGGTTGGAATTGAATCTGTTGTAATGATAATCGTCGTCCTCGTTGGGGAAATTAACTTTGGCTTTTTTCCCTCTGATTTTACGAGCTTCCTTATCATAGGCCCGAGCTGCGTCTTCAGCTGTATTGAAAGTGCCCAGCCAAACCCGAACGCCTTTTCTCGGGTCACGAATCTCTGCTGCCCATTTGCCCCAGGGTCGCTGCCTTATTCCCCTGTACAAATTCTTCCTCTGCCTTTTTCCCTTGGCGCCTTTCACATCATGCTCACCATCTGTATGTAAAAATTCCTCATGCACACCATCTGTTTGTACCATTCAAATTCAAACCCAAGACAACATATAAAAAACGTACTAAAACTAAAAGGAACGGAGAAAAGCATTGGTTTCAACATCTTACCTTTGTGGGGTTGAGATGTTTTGAAACTGGTAGTGACATTTTGGCCGGAGGAGGAGGAGGAGGAGGAGGAGTCGGGCCAGAAGTCGGTGGAGGTGACACCGCGGTTACCATTGCGCGGAATGATGTAGCCAAGTACTGTACCGCCACACATTCTTGAATTATATGAAAATTCTCTGATTGGTAAACTAGGAATTGAAACGAACAGAGCAACGCAGAAATGAGTGATATAGAAAGATTTTGAAAATGGATTTAGATATTATGGCCTTGGTCCGCGAGGGGATCGCAGTGTGTGTGTGTGTGTATATATATAGGAAATGGGTGACGGGCCAGCGGAGGGTGGGCACGTAGGGCTATTATAATTTCATTTCAAATTGATCTCGTCTTTGATATCAATTGTCATACAGGGACAAAAAACGTGGATCAAACAGTGACTGACTAAGCTTAAAAGGCGCTGATCTTCGTCATGCATGCTCAACTTCTTATGTGTACTTTTTTTTTTTTTTGGGTCAAAATTTTATTTTGCCTTTCATTTTCGCACTAGATCCCCGTAGCAAACCACTCACTTTGTATAAATTTGTCAATGGCAGTCGAACTGCTCGATTGACTCTGCTTGGACCTAGACAGTTTGAACTGTGAGGTCAAAAATAAATTTTTTTTCGAACAACGTATCTGATGCTACCAAAAATCGTACCTGCAGATTTTTCGAGCTTGATGATTTTTATTGAGCACGATCGTAGCCTTCCGATACCTGAAACAAAGGCAACGAGGTATGTTCTCGTCGCCCCTCCGATGCTTAAGTCAGAAAGGGAATTATATGCGTGAAACTATAAACTGGAGAATAATGAAAAACGTACCTGAATAATGGCTCAAGGTTCTGTATTTATGAGTAGGCAACATTCTCCTAGTGGGACTCAACTAGTTGGATATCCTTATCTGTTGGAGTCTTGTACAGTTAAGGAGTTGGTCAAATACTATAATTATATGTGGGATAGAATCCTTGCAGGAGTCAAGTATATGGTTGAGTTAGAGTCCTAATTGCATAGGAATTCTAAAGGGTCAATAATCGTAGGTTGTGAGGGGGAGCATATGCTCGAGGACTGCTTATGCTTGAAGACAAGTATCGCAATATGTAAAGCAGCCAGACAGGGAGTGCTCGAGCATGATAGCCCGAGCACTCCATATGTGGAATTGCAAGTTCAGCTAAAATTGGTCGTCGGGATAATTAGTGATTGGGTTGCAGGGAATGTCAGTATCATTGGCCCCCGTGCACATATGCTCGAAGCTTTCGCTCGAGGATATGATGCAAAGAGGCTCGAGGGCGATTGATGTGTAAAAGAGCTTTTGAAGATGAGTGAGCGTAGCTGATGTGGTGATGACATCAGCCCTAAACGAGTAAGGCGGTGGAAGGGTTGAGCCCTTGGATGGTAGACACGTGGCGTGATCGGACGGTTGTGCCAGCGACTTTTGGGCTCCCACTCAGGTCTCCTATAAATACTCCTTTCACTATTCATTTTTTACTTTTTCACTCTCAGTAAATTTTTCTCGCAATCGTCGGTATCAGGTAAGAGCTCGAGAACTTAAGTTGTTTATTTAGAAAGGTCTTAGGTTGGAATAGGATGTCGAGTAGTGAAGGAGACACATCGTCTTCGGGGTCTAGGTCTACACCCGAGGACTTAGGACAGTCTATAGTGCCGATGGCAGTACCTATTAGTGCTCAGCCTCGAGCTCAGGATAATCCGATGTTACTTAGGTTCTCAGATCAACCCTGTAGGTTTAAGGAACACTTAGCGATATCGACGGTTAGGGAATATGGCTTTATGCCGGGTTGTGATATAAGGCATCTTGAGGATGGGGATAGGATGGCTATAGCTCGGGAAAAAGAGTTCGTGATTTTTAGAGATTCTTTAAAGGGGGTTTAGGTGGCTCGTGCACCCATTCTTTGTCACCCTGTTGACCGAGCATAATATGAGCCCCGGGCAGTTAGTGCCGAACGGGTGGAGGATGTTGACCTATTTTCTTTTGTAGCTTGTAGGTACCTAGGAGTTACCCAATACCTAGACTTATGCAGGATGGGGTTCGACTTGAAACAACTTTCCCAATTCTCGTGTTTTGCCTACCTTTCACCCCGAGGAGGGTTTAGGATCCCGAGGATGCCTAGTTCGTTAAAAGGGTGGAAGGAAAATGGTTTTATGTCGTGACTCAAGATCTCGACCTACCTTTTAGTCCTCAGTGGGTCTTACCAGTTACTGCGAGGTTTTGTGAGGGTTAAGCCTATTTTGAGTCCTTAGAGAGGGATAGGCTGATGTTAGAAAATCTCGAGCCTTTGGTGTACGATATAGATGACATCCTCGATCTCACGAATGTGAAAGGCGTCGAGGGTAGGATATACACTTTCAATGTTTTCGTTATTCTACCTATATTTGTAATGCTCGTGCTCGTGCTAATGTCGGGTGATTTTGCAGAAATGACGTTTGATCCTGCTGCCCTACGTCATGCGGTTAACAAGAAGTCCACGGTCCCCCAGGCTCGGGCTCCCGGCCAGAAGAGGGGACAAAAGAGAGCTCGAGATTTCAGGCTCGAGAAACAGAGGAGTGGCCCCGGCGAAACTTCATAGCCAAGGGGGAAATCCCCGGCCAGGTTGAGCGCCCAACCCCTCAGGGTACACCTCGGAGCGTCCCTCAATCTCGAGGTCCTATCGAAGTGGTTGATCTCGAGGATGGGGCTCTGCCAACATGCTTTGTCCCATTAGAGGACCAAACCCGAGGCCAATTTTTGCCGAGCATTGTTGACCAGTACCGAGGAAGTATTAGCTTTGATGATGGCATGAGGGCCTTCGAGGCCATGACGCTGAAGGTACGTCGATCATGTAATCCAAATTTTCTTTGTTCAGGTATTTTTACATCTTTTTTAATCGAGGCATTATTAAACTTCCGTTCGTCCATTTTTTCCAGATGTTAAGCATTGCTTGAGGTCTATCTTTGAAGGGAAAAGATGAGTCCTCCAAATTGACTGACCTCGAGGACTCCCTAGCGGCTCGTGATAAAAGAATTGCCGACCTTGAGGTCGAGCGCGCTCAGCTGCTGAGGGAGCATGAGCAGATGAATAGCAAGCTCATGAAAGCTCGAGAAGAAGTTGGTTCCATGAAGGATGAGGCCGAGGAGGTGAAGCTGGAGCTTGAAAATATTCATAGGGATTATGAAGGGAGGTTGGTCCAAGCTCGAGTTGACTTAGTCGAGGAGTTCAAGAAGTCTGACATCTTTAATGTGCTCAAAGGCGAATACGCAATGGGCTCATACTTTCATGCCCTGAAAGAGGCTCGAGCATTCATTCGCGCGAAGCTAGATGCAACGCCCGAGGACTTGAAGACTATCCCACGGGTGGCTGAGGACCTCACCCTCTCGGAGTCCGAGGAGAACGTTGATGATGAGGAGGTCGACATCAAGGGTGACGACGTCGAGGAAGATCAACCCTGCCAGAATACCGAGGACTAGACTTCTTGATTATTCATTTTGATCATGACGACACCTGTTTTTGTATTTTGAACAAGTATTTTGCTCGATCTTAGTTAATGTTCTATTTATCGATGTTTTTTCAACGTATGGGGTGTATGGTTGACGACTTGGACATCTTGACGATCAGGACAAATTTAAATAGCTCGAAGTTTAAGATGAGTAATGGATGACTTGACGCTTAAGATGAAATAATAACTTGACGTCTGAATATTAATCTCGACGTTTAAGATGAAACAATAACTTGACGTCTAAATATTAATCTCGACGTCTAAGATGAATTAACAACTCGACGCCTAAGATGAATTAATAACTCGACACCTAAGATGAATTAACAACTCGATGCCTAGATTAATTAAATATTTCGATGCCTAAGATGAGTTAGCAACTCGACGCCTAGATTAATTAAATATCTCGACGCCTAAATGAAGTTTTAGCCTTGACGTACTTATTCACCAACAACAAAGATTTATTTTTGTCATGCTCGACCAATATGACTCTCTCGAGGATTGAGTTTTACGATCATTTTCGAAATTGCGTTTAGCTCGAGCATGTATACAAGTTATCTCAAGGACTTAATTCTGTAAAATCATTTTTTGACATTATACATTGGGCTCGAGCATATTATGCCTGTTTATCCCGAGGACTAAATGACAATGTAATTGTATCGACCTATAGTGTGATTCCCGAGGATAGTAATGACCTTTTTATAAGACTATCACGTCGTTGATCAGGCACTGTGTGCTCGGCAATGTTACTTGTAAGTGTGTTCGTGACTTAGCTTTTTTGATTGCTTGCTTGGGGCAAGGCTCGACTTGCTTGTGTGAGGCAAGGTTTTTTGATTGCTTGCACGGAGCAAGGCTTGAGTTGCTTACGTGGGGCAGGACTTTTTAATTGCTTGCGGGGGACAAGGCTTGAGTGGCGCAAGGCTTTTTAATCGCTTGCGCGGGGCAAGGCTTGAGTTGCTTGCGCTGGGCAAGGCTTTTTGTAGTTAGATCATATTTTGAGGAATAGCTTAATTCTTATTATACTTTAAAAAATGGACTTGGCACGCATGCCTGAGAATTGAAAACGTGAACCTTGACGCGCAGGCCTGACTACTGATAACTGGAAGACCAAGTTACTTGTAATATATATTTAAATTCTTGGCATTCCATGGTCTTGGAAGTGGTCTTCCTGATGTATCCCTTAAATTGTATGCGCCTCCTTGGAGCTGTCATATGACTTCGAATGGCTCTTCCCAAACTGGTCCTAGCTTGCCCGGGGCATGACCTGCTGCTTCGGCCCTTCTTAACACAAGGTCTCCGGATATGAATCTCCGCGTCCTCACTTTTTTATTGAAGTACTTTGCTGTTTTATCTTGGTAGGAGGCCATTCTTAAAGCTGCCTGATCTCGAACTTCTTCCAAGAGGTTGAGGTGTTCAGTGGTGCGCCTTGCATCTTCGGGCTCAAGCCTCCTTTAGCCGGGCAACCTGACTTCAACAGGGATGGTGGTCTTAATACCAAAAGCCAACATGAAGGGGGTTTCCCTTGTAGCAGTTCTATGAGACGTTCTATACGTCTAAAGTATGGAAGGTAACTTGTCAGACCTGGAACCTCTTGCATCCCCGATCCTTGTACGGAGGTCTTGCAATATATTCCAATTGGTCACTTTGGCGAGACCATTACTTTGAGGATGGGAAACCGACGTCAAACGGTGATCAACCCCTAGGTTGGAACAGAAGTTTTTAAATTGTACATTGTCAAACTGCCTGCCATTATCAGTTATGAGAACTTTCGGTATCCCGAACCTG